TTACAACATGCTCCCAGGAAGAAAGCAATATAAAACTAAATCAACAGACACAATGCCTGTTGAGGACGCTGATTCAGTTCTTGTCAACAACACCCAGATCCCAACTGCTTACGCTGAGGAGCGCGTTACGTCACCTGCGGACTCCTTAATCCAGCCGCACCGCACAGCTGTGAGGACCAGATAAGCAATGACCACTGATATATAACTGCACAAATTACAGCAGCAGCTGCTGAGCAGCCCACTGGACCCCCTCACCCCCCAGCTCAGCTTTCAGAGCAGCAAATAATACCGCAAATTACTGGAGTCAGCTGCTTTTCTTCTACTTACGTTCGTCTCTGAAACAGAGACGCAAAGTTTGAGCGTACAGTCGAGTTTTTGTATCCAGGGGAAGTCTGAGCTCCGCTTGTGTTGATCTGGACTGAGTTCTCACTGACACAGTAGCGCATTCAAACAGGCAGTGTGGAATAAATACCACAGCTTGACAGGAAGCACAGGCTAGAGGATGGTTATGTAAGGTGGTTCAAGTCGAGCGGCAGAGAGAGATTTAAGACCGACAGTAAGCACCACAGAACATACTGGGCTCTTTTAATTACAAATTGGCCCACATTTTTTCACCGAGTTCAGAGAATCAACTTGGAACTCAATGCAGCAAAGCAACACRTCTACAAAAAACCCCAGCAGGATGAACAACCAGGCTGCAAGAACAGCCATAAAGACGTGCATAAAAACATAATCACCATGTTGTTCTGGATCCTCAGTGGATCACTGCATCATGTTGTTGACTTTTTTTCCATTCGGAATGCAGCAGGCAAACACACACAGGAAACTATGCAGTCATTTAGTGGTAATGTAAAGGTCAAATGTGTCATTTGGGGGAAACTGTGACCCGGCTCGCGTAAGCTGAGAGTCAGTGATTCTGTTTTTCAGCAGCTCCACTCTGGGTCTGAGGTACAGTAACCTGAAGCCCAGGCTCCGCTGGGAATACCAGTGTTGAGTTAATGTTTACTTCTGTTTCTGCTTGAAAGAAGAGCTCAACCTGGATTCTGTGCACAAAACCAACATATGCATATTCACTCATTTATGCTTATAAGCAAATGTTGGCCATTCAAGTATAATAGTCCATTTTATAGTTACAAATATGCCAAGTGTCCAAGTTCAATTATTTTTAGGATAAACACTGATGTTGAATATCTTTAAGCTATAAACCTGCTTTTTTAAGTTTGTTGAATAAATCTTGGGTTTTCTTGTTGGACACTGAATGATATGTGCATATGTATGGATCTCTATCTATCTATCTGTCCGTCCGTTCGTCCGTCCGTCTATAGTCATTATAATTGTATACAGCAGGTAAAATAAGTATTGAACACGTCAACATTTTTCTCAGTAAATATTTTACTAGAGGTGCTAATGACATGAAATTTTCACCAGATGTCGGTAAC